CCCCGTTACTAAACACAGGAATCTCCGTGTTTGGCGGACAGAGTGATAATGATAACCACAACAACCACACCTTCTACACGAAAAATACTTATTTAATATCGACTAAACATGCTTTCAAAATAAGGATCTTGAATTTACCCGTTCCAAATATCAACTTTATTGGGTGCCTGGAAAATTATAATTCAGTGTTTGCCCCCAAATGAGCTTGTACATGCAAAGGCATCCCTGTAGTTTTTTCTCCTTTTTTTTGGCATCAATGACTATTCATAAGTATTATCATGAGATATATTTTTTTGCAAAGTCATAAAGTTTTTTTTTGCATCAATGACTATTGGTAATACTTATAATGAGAAATATATTGGTTTGCAGTTCGTTCATAAATTGGAATATTGTACAGTAATATAAGATGTCATTTCTTTCATAATTGGAGGCACTAATGCTATATGGGAGTTGATACTATGCAAAATTAGTGTAACCTTGAATTAACATTACATTCATATACAGTACGTACTGTATATTTACAATTCATAAACATAAAATATTTTTTTATTCTCAACCTTTGATGATATTATCTGCGCTTCTGAATAGAACTGTAGCTAGTTGATGTTATTGCTTTTATGGAACAACTAGAATTGATGCCATGGAATGGTAATGTCTATTTATAATGATGTATTATTAAATGTACTAATTCATAAAAATAAAATGTAGTACTCTACTGTGTCTGAACAATTTTTTTAGGTCTCACCACGAAATGTAACGTATTTTACTGAAATCTTTAATTGAGATTTTCACCTAAACAGGTCGAAGTAAAAATTTGTACCCAATTTTGTTTTTAATGTTTTTGAATAATTTGATACAAAAACATTTTTTGGTATTTGGTGGTTGCTATATGGACATCTGGCTCAGGAGTACGGGGCATTTTCCAAAAACCGAAAGGTCCAAGATTAATCTTTAGACAAGATAGTATACTGTAATACATAGCCAGGTATTGAAATGCACTCCATCGTGTCGGGAATCAATATTTCGACATTAATTACGTCATCATTTCTGATGATGACATAATTAATGTCAAAATATTGAATCCCAACACGATGGAGTGCATTTCAATACTTGATACATAGTTTACCTTTAAAGTGAATTTTTTTACTTACTGTATAAAATTGTTATCCCATGCATATTCTGTAATTCTACAGTAGTCCTATTATTATTTTTACTGTATAGTTTAGTTTATTTTAAGCTGATTTTCTCAAAACCTAGTTCTCATACACCTACTAAACTTCAAATGCTCACTTCTCTGGATCCACTTATCCTAGGAAAAACCATTCAAAGACCAAAGTAAAGCTTGTAATGTGAACTAACCACATTTGCTATAAATTCATTTTTTGATTTTCCAACCATGAGACTAATTTTGTGGTGAGACCTCATCCTGATTACATCCTGTTTTTGTAGGCTCCACTCTGAGTACTAATTGCTAAGAGAAGGACAACTTTTCATTGTTCTGAAATATTTGACACTTTACATTTCTTATATGCAATCTTACTTTAAGTACTCTCATTTTAATTACCTGTAGAGCATCATGATTTATTCTCACAACTGCAAAAATACTGCAAGTCCATTCCGAATACCACACAATGGGACTTTCTTAAAAGTGTGTTATTCTATACCAAGTTTCTAATACTATGTAAGAAAATATAATACATACTCCAAGTACTGAAATACACACCATCGTGTTGGAATTTCAATACTTGGAGTAGGTCTATGTATTATACTTTCCTATTTGATATTAATCTGTAGACCTTTTGTGTTGAAGTGCTACGTAATTTTTATAATGATTGTGATTTCTTGTTATAATCATTAGTTATAATTACTATTTTAAAAATTATTTTTTATTTTGTATCTTGATTGGACCTCAAAGTTGAATGAAGCGTGCATGCGCAGATGGTATTGTGAATGTGTTGTTTCATTGTTTATGTTAAATGCAATACTTTTATTATTTTTCTTTTTTTATGATCATTGATTTCATAAGAGAATCAATTATTGAATAGTTACTGTATGATTAAATTAAAAATAATAATTATAGTACAGTTATTAGAATTAATCATTATTATGAATTAGTTCCACTATTCCTGTCTCTTTTGGTTAGAAAAATAACAATGTCATTATTTTTTATCAATTTACACATCTATTTTTTTTTTCATTTTCAACGAGGATGTTATTCAAGAAAATCAATGCATCGCAGTCTTTAGTATTTTGTTTAATTTGTTTCTTCAGACAATTATTATGTCCGATTGTATCATACGTGGTGATTTAGCAAACGTCAGAATCGGGAGGCATTGCGTCATCGGAAAACGCTCCGTCATCCGACCTCCATTTAAGAAATTTAGCAAAGGGTAAGCTGGATTTTGTTATGTTTATTGGTTGCCTACTGTATAGTACAGGTCAAACCTGGCGGAACTCAGCCTACCAGCACAGAACTGCTTTGTAATGTGGTTAGATGAGGATAGATATATTTAGTATTTAATTCCTTTTCTTATGTGAAGTGTACTGTATTAATATCCTGTGCAATATTTGCTATAAATAGAAAATCGTCACACTGTACAGAAGGAGAAAAAGTAATAATATTGATATATTTTATTATTTGTAATTTTTCAATTCTCACAGTCACTATTAAACTTTTATGAGAATAAATGTGGGATAGGGCAATGGAGTCCTACCCCATTTCTTCCCCTTCCTTCCAAGTTTCCCTCTGATTAACTACGTTTGCTGATTGGAATGAATTGGATTTATTCAGTGTATAATGTACATTAATTAATAAAGAAGTCTTATTTCCAGTATTGTCCTTCTTGTGGTCATTGGGTAGTGCAACGGGAGACAATCCCCTACTCTCTTCCGAAGAGTGTACTGCATTCGTTAATGTGCACATGGGACCAACGTCTTTAAAAGTCTCATCTAAAAGATAGTGCGCTCTTGAAACTTGCATTTCGGCCCTCCAGCTGCAACACAAGGAGAGCAGCAATGTGAATAGACGTTTCCGGAGTGTCAATCAAACTCAATAACTGAACAATCAAAACAGCACAAGGAATATGCGCGTTTCCAACAAGTACAAGCATTGTCCCACAAACGCATGTGTTCGCGTATGTTTTAACACTGTCGTCTTGTGGGACCTTAGCAACAATATCCAAGGGGCGGGGCTTAGAAGAAAGATCCATTGTAACCGTGGCGACCACCAGTTTACATGTAGCCGACTGAACTAAGCTACTCTCACTAATTATAATGTAGGATAAGGCAATGGATGTAAATTATAATGTCATGTAAAAACATTATAATGTAATAATTATAAGTGAATTTCGGAAAGACACCGAACGTTATTATTTTGCAATTATGTAAGAAATTATAATCCAGTTCAGCTTTGATGAAACGTAAGGATATCTTCTCATACTTCCAAATAGGCAGGTTTTTCGAACTATAAATGGACCAAACGGGCGTAAATTCATGATAAACACAACACATTTTAAGGAAAAAACTAAGGATTTAATGGTAAAGGTGATTCGGGTGATGTTTTGGTTTATAGTTCATCACTCCAAAAAAATGATGATGAAAATATCTCAAAGAAAATGTATTTAAGCTTTCTCGTGTAATTGATCCCACGCTTAAGTTAGTGGATGTGATTGGTTGTTTCCTGTTGATGATCTATCAACAGTTTTTCAACAGCGAACCATAGTCCTTACTGTAACTGACTCAGATGGTTATACATTGTATATGGTTGATTTGTCTAATAACAACCAGTGGGAAATATGAGGCATGTTGTGGCAAAATGGCTAAGTTGTAGCAAAAATTTAAATTCAACTAATTGGTATTTTCAGATACCTGAGTATGTGATCTTTAAAATGAGGGGTCATTCATTCAAATTGGACATTTCAAACCTAAGTTATTGCAAAGTGAAAGTACAGTACTCTTAGAGTCGAGATAAACAGCTTTATTGTGTATTCATCCCACGCTTCAGTTGATGGATGTGATTGGCTGTTTCTTGTTGATGATCCATCACCAGTTTTTCAATGGCCAATCATAGTCCTTAACTGACTCAGATGGTTATACATCGTATATGGTCGATTTGTCTAATAACAACCAGTGGGAAATATGGGCTTTGATAAACTCATGAAAAGATGCCATTATATTATAAATTACTAACACTAACCATGCATTACATTTCTAAATAATTCTTATTTTAATCATAATTTTATTTACAGCCAGGCTCCAGAGGGGGAAAAAAATTGATAATAAATTTTCTAAGACACAAAAAGCATATTTGACGAAAAACTCAGAAGCGGTAATAATGAGATACGGATTTTTGAATATCTTGTGTCTTAGAAAAAATTAGTTCTACAACATATCAACATTTTTTTTCAACAGTGCGGAACCTGGCTTTAAAAATATTAGTTTTTAGCAATCAACATAAAAAAGTTAACAAATTTTATGTCTCAAAACCTGCCATAATGTTTATGATTCAACCTTATTACCTGTCAATCATTACTATTGACCGTCATAGCATGTAGAGTACTATAGCATTTTATGATCTATTTAGAAACAGTAAAGGATCAGTGGCGTATCTAGAAGTCTGGGGTGCTAAGGTGAAGTGGGTTCTCGATTATCAGTTGAGGGGTGCTAATTCGCAAAATAAGGCAATTTTTAACTACTTGACCGTGATTTTTGTGGGGCGACTGGGGAGGGCGTGTGTAATTTTTGGATGGGTGTGTGCCCTCGCGCACCACTGTAAAGACCTCAAATAATGTGTTTAGCTTTAGTTCCTCATAGCAGCTCTGAATCACACACAGTACAGTACTTGACTTAGTTGAAATCTTACTGCTTCGCAAAACACTCATATCCGTGGTTTCTCATGATATAAACTACTTTAACTACAGATTTGTACAGTATGCCGACTTGCATTGCCAATCCTTGAAGCTCTATCCAGACTATAAAATTGTATGCCCATATATAGTCATGATGTGCCTATATATGGTCATGATGTGATGTCATCATGACCATATTTAGGCATGTCACATGATTTCATCAAATTAAATTTGATAGTCTGGACGGCGCTTTATACCTTCAATTTGGCACTGCAGCACATGATGCATATTTTGACCAACAGCTTCTGAAGAAGGACATGCATCCATCTTCTACTAGCCAATTGACCACTTGCGGCTCATTGTGCATAAGGGAAACCAAAAACACAAATAAATTTGCTCAACAAAAGAGGAATTGCTCTAAAAATACTATTCCTACCAGTAGATTTATTGTGCATTTTTTGGAAGCTGTGCTAAATTTTCTTACAGTATATTTAGACTGTATGCAGGTATTTAGTTACAATCGCTTTGAAAAAAAAGAAAATAACACGCCGAATATTGTAATATTCATACAACCAAACTTATTTTCTTACTCTTAAAATTAATTCTTAAGATAAATAAATTCCAGATAATTTTCATCTTTACAGGCTTACCTTTAATGCCTTGATACAACACTTTGTCAACCACAAATTCACAATTGAAAGAGAGAACCGTATGTTTGAGCCTGCAAGCATGTGTGTAATAATAACAATTAGGCTTGAAATACAACGACGACCTTTGCAGGGTACTAATCAGAGTTCACGATAGTTTTGATTATGTGGGTCAGGCTTACAGTAGTTTAATTTTAGTTCGCATGTGTTGCTCCAAATGAATACTTAACCAGGAAGTCTATAGGTAGTTCATTTCCTTCAATGAAGATTTTGATATTTGATAATGAGTTAATAATCTGCACTTTCTTTTTGTCAGTTATTAAAAATTTATTGCCATTGGAAAGATTATTGTCAAGCTGCAGATAGGATTTGGGAAAACTCAACATGCATTGTACTTGCTCATCATGATTTTTTGTTTGTTATTTACCGTAGAATATGAAGGTATACTTTATTCAGTAAACACCAAAGGCAGCTGTGAGGCTAAAAAATGGCATTGTATACCTCAAAAACAAATTATTAATTAAAATTGTTAAAAATAAAAAAAAACAAACAAACATCAAGGCAAGTGTTCCTGCCATCTGTCATTAATTTGACATTTAAACATACTAATATTGATAAAATGACTCATTCAAAAGTCTAGTCAAAAATGGTATAGGTGAGGATTTGAATCTTTTAGTTCAACCAAATTGCATATTAAGCAGAGGTTTGCACGCGACCTCAGGTTTCTGCCGACCTCACAAGCAGGAAAAGTAAGCTCCTAAAAGTGTCCGACTTCAGAATTCTTTTGCCGAATTCGAGTAGAAGTATCTCACTCCAACCAACTTGCTTTGGTTTTAATTACTTTTCCTATCAGATTTACCGTACTCTAGTAGAATATATAATAATAATTGTTGACTTATATAGCGCATATTGTAGAGACTATGCGCTTTGCATTATTATCCCTGGAGAGTCGATCAAGCACATGGAACACATACTCAGGTCCCTTGGGAGAATTCCATAATGTTACAGCTGTAATAAGCGCAATTTTGTGTTTGAACCTACCAGGTACCCACTTGATGTACTCTGGGTGGAGAGAGACAACCATAAGTAAAGTGTCTTACCTAAGGACGCAAGCAAAATATACAGTGAGGGATTTAACCTCCGACCTCAAAATTGAGAAGCAGACACGCAAAACCGCTCCTACGCCAAGTATCATATTACCACAATCCTTATCAAAACACATTAAAACCGATACCATACGTATTTAACTAACGTGCAAGATTTATACATTTTTGTGCTCAAGCACTACTGATATTTTGCCTATTTATGGCGTATTACAGAAAGTTTTGCCTAAGTATTGTGTAAACAATTACAGAAATAAACAAGATACTGCTGTACAAAAATTTATCATTAGTCCTAGACACTGAGATGTATGGGTCTATTGTGTAATGACCAGGACAATGATTTTTTCTTAGGGATTTTGGCTACATTGCCCCTAAGGACCATAGAACACTGGGACTTCAAGATTCAAGATTTCAAAAGTATTGTAAAACCAAAGAAAACTGACCTATAAATCTTCATCCTGTCTAGTTTGTTTGAAATTCCACAGCTGTTATACCTGCAATTGTGAACATCCCATACCTTGCACCCAAGGCAAAGAAATGTTTCATTTACTACAGAAATTTGAAGACATAATACGGAAATGCCTTTAACCAACTTGAGAAATCTATTTATCTCATTGTTATTATTGCCTTTTTACCTGTAGAGTTAGAGTTACAATACCCTTAATAAAACCAAACATGATATGCCATTTGAATCATTTGTTTTAATGATTCAATAAAATGTTAATATCAATTTTAATAATCAACATTTAATATGTATAATGATTGAATTACAAATTCTCCTATTACAAAATTGAAAGCCATTATTAGTACCAGCATAAAGTAGGCTTTAAAATATTCGGAATCTCTAATTGTGACTGAGACTAAAAATAGTCTTTTATAGTAAATTGCACTTTAAAGGCCTGTTTACACTATGACAATAACGATCAACAGTGATCAACGATAAAAGCTAAAATGCAATTGTTTATATAGAAAACACAATTGAAAAATCTGAAAGCAAGAAATAGCCCAAAAAGGTTTCAAAGAAACCGTATTTCCATCCGGATCCTGAAAACGAAACATTGTTAATCAAAAATGAATAACAACATGAAAATGGTATTCACAGTTAAAAATAATAAACTTAGCTAAAATTTAAAATTACAATTTTAAAGTTCAAGACAATATTAAAAGATCAACAATTGAAAAAATAAAAACCAATTTGACCAGTTAAAACTCATTAAAAATAGGCTTTAGGCCAATTAAGATATGTTTATGTTGGATACTCGAAAAGGAGCCCTCAATTGGGACTTAACATCGAGGATTGATAGGTACTTCCCAGGGAGCAGAGAACGATGCACTTTGTTCTGTATAGTCAATGGTACCAATCGTAAATAAAACTTCATGCGCCTTTTATCATTACTTTAGCATTGGCACTTTGTTGCTATTACACTTGCATATAATACACCAAACTATTTTATTTGTTTTCAGTGTTGCATATTTCCCGCTTCATATTGGTGATCACGTTTACATTGATGAAGACTGCACGATCAACGCTGCTCAAGTCGGTTCTTATGTTCACATTGGCAAGAATTGCGTGATTGTAAGTAATTGTCCAGTTACCTTTTAATCCATCAATTAGTAACTGGGATTTGATAATTAAAAATTGTTATGTTATGTTAAAAATTGCTATGGTTTTAATTAAACATTTGTACTGGTAATTTTTCCAACATTATTTTTATTTTTTTATTTATTCTTTTTATTTATTTATTTATTTAATTTTTAATCATTATATTTAGGGAAGGAGGTGTGTATTAAAGGATTGCTGTTCTATAGCTGACAACACTTATCTCCCACCAGAAACTGTGGTACCGCCATTTACAGTTTTCTCTGGCTCACCAGGTAACCCATTGTTACTTAAATATTTATAAAATTGATACTGTATTTTCTCAATCAAGAGATATCCCATGTTTGTGGTAGATATCTGTGATACTGTCAGGCCAGATTAACATAGGGGCTTTTGGGGCACCAGGTCCCAATGAGGAAAAATACGCCCCAAACCCCAGGAAAAAATCACCAAAAATCTGGGTTTATGTGGTAGCAACAGAGTATTTAGGCCCACATGCAATTACAGCCCCAGGCCCCACAGCTCTTTAATCCGGCCCTGCCTACTGTAAGCAAATGTCCAATAATGAACCTTTCAATACCCTCAATCAAACTTATTTACTGAGCAATCACGATGGTGCTTGGAATACGCACTACAAAACACATGTGTTGCCCCATAAACCCACATGTGTGCATAGAGCCTGCCCTTTTGACATAATGAGAACTGATGTTGAAATTAGAAAGTAAAAACAAAATCATATATATGAAAAATTATAAAGTAAAACAAAGAAATGCTACTGCACTGTAATGTTATTAGTGGTGATGATTTGGAGAGTTCTGGCCATATGGCTATAGAACTGACCCAGTGAAAGTCAGTTTGTCTACCTTCAAAGAGTATAGAATTGCAAGAAGTCCGACTGCGTTGTGCATGCAGTGAAAAGTTAGAAAAGTATTACCAAGAGATAGAGGGCGCCCTATTCAAATTTGAATCGGTACATTCTAGTTTGTGGTAGAATTTTTTTAGATAGGATTGTGTTCCAACAAAACCTTGGGAGTTGGACCATTTGCAGCCTTCCATAAATTTGATAGGTTGTGAGCAAAAATTGTTTGTGCATTTCCGAGTATTTTTGTATAAAATTTAATTACCCATTTATTAATCTTAAAAATATGTAGAATATGTGCATATTTTTAAATATATATACACCTTGTATATATATATATAAGAATATATATATTTTTTAATATATCCTTGTATATAGTCTTTGCTTGGACAAAGTTTAAAGAAGATCCAAGCATGAAAGTGAAGATAGAAAAATTGTGTGCAAAAACAAAGAAAAACAGGAAAGAAGAAACCAAAAACAAAGACTTTTCTGTTGTGGTAAAAACCAAAATAATACTAACACTTTTATTGTTTTTTATTGTTTTTCTGTGTTTTTCTTTCCCTTTTAGGTCGTGTGAGCAATGAGTTGCCAGAATGTACCCAAGATTTAATGATAGATATAACAAAGGGATACTACCAACATTTTCTCTCAATAGCAGACGCACAGTAACAAAAGTTCCACGACTCCTTACAGGTGTTTACTGTATAATATTTGGCTATTCTGAATATTCAATCTCACCATTCTGGATTTGTTGCCATGAGCAACAGCGAATCCAAAGTACCTGGAAGTGATAACCCATAGTATGGTGTTACATATTTTAGACACAATTTCTAATTGGATGATGTTCTATTGCATGTCCGCTTGCCCCTGGTTTCCTAATGGCAAATCGCTTATTATATTCGCACAGCGATTTTGCTGGATGCACACTCTAGTTCCTCTAAAACTCTATATGAGAAATACTAAGATGTACCTACCGCAATTATCTGTTATCAATTATCCTTGTTGAAGAAATAACCTGACAGTTGGATGCGAATTATGGATTAAAAAAATCAGGAATCATGTGGTGGCAGTAAGGACTTCCAATTGCAAGATAAGCCACTGCATAGTTTAAACTGCACATGCCCTTATCAAAGGTCAGTCAACATAAACAAATATGTAACACACACAACATACAGAGGGAACCGGGCTGCCCCCTCCCCCTTTTGGAAGGTAAGAAAAGAAAAAAAAAGAAAGCAAGAAAGAAAAAGAAAAAAATGTATTGCCCAAAACGCCTTAGAGGTTATTTTTAGGCGTCTAGAATACTAAAATTTCGTGGGGACATGCACCCCGACCCCCTAGAGTAGGGTTAATCTTGATCGGGGGCCCCCTTTTGGACATCTGGATCCGCCCCTGACATAGGCTAGGCCTCGGATTTGGTGCGGCCTTCAGAAGTGTCTGAAAACAGTTACTATGATACATAGTTTACTTGCTTGCTTGCTTCTTATAGCTAATTGTAAATATGAAGAACTGTTACATGTATGTAATAGCTTCATGAAATTCAGAAGATTCAAAGGCTGTGCCATTTTTGGAGGCCTACTGTATGTTGTGTGTGTTAAATGATTGATGTTAATTCACTTTCAATACGGGTATGCACAGTTAAAATTAGTCACTTATTAAAGCTAGCCATTTAGCACTTAATCCAATGTTTCTCCAATACATTATAACCTAGATATTAAACCTAAGTGAAAAAAGGTGGGTACCTGGTACCTTCCAGTGTTAAAGCATTGTTTACAAGCCACCACGTCGTTGTGGAATAAGTCTCATCCATAAAGCTGTGTATGTGTTCGACCAATGACTAGTGCCAAGGTATTCAACCTTTTTAAGTTTGTGGACACTTCCAACCAGCTGGGGCCAGCACAACATAATTTTGTACTTCCCAGGGGCGAATCCCGAGATGTCCAAAAGGGGGGTGCCGAAAGTTGGGCCGATCGAGACAACACTGTTCTAGGGGGGCCGGGGGCGAAATTTTTGTGTTCTAGACGCCAGAAAATAACATTTGAGGCGTTCAGGGCTTATATTTTTTTTCTTTTCTTTCTTTTTTTCTTTTTTTTCTTTTTTTAACCTCCCAAAAGGGGGGGGGCGGGGCTGGGCCGCCCCCCCCTAAATCCGCCCCTGCTTCCAAATTATTTCAATCTCAACCCCACCCATTCTCTTTCATCAATAATATAAGAGTATATTGTATAAGTAGACTTGGTTTATTTATAATAATTTTTGACAAGAACTTTGATATGCCTTGTTTTGAAGAAAGAGAAGTTATGCAGTAGCTTATCCATATATAATAATATTTTAGACTTAAGTAGTACTTCATGCCAACAAGGCCTCTAAGCGCTTCACATTTAATTACCCTGGTCATTGGATCTTGCACATATGGAACACATGCTCAGCTTCCTGGTTAGAATTCCATAACGTTGTAGCTGTAATCAGCACATTTTGTGTTTAAACCTACCAGGTACCACTTGTGCTCCTGGGTGGAGAGAGACAACCATAGGTAAAGTACCTTGCCTAAACTACACAAGCGAACTGCACAGCGAGGGATTGAACCTCCGACCTCACGGTTGAGAAGCAGAACAATAACCGCTCTCCCCCCCCCCCAACTAGATTTATACATCTAAGGAAGGAGGGGTTGGCCCAAATATACTTGTACCCTAAGGTTCCTGCATTATCAAGTAAAAATTAACATGGAAAAATTATTCTGTTTTTTAGCAATGCTGCGAGTCGGACTTGGTCTGGAGGTTCAATACCAGGCCCGGGATTTATCAATCTCAGCTTAGAAAATGTCTTAAGTCAAACAAGTTAAGATATCCCTAAGCAAATATCTTAAGCTGATTTATCAAACCATCTTAGCAAAATATTAGCTTAAAAATCGTCTTAGATGGCGCATGCATACAATTGACTTTTTAATTTTAAGCAATTTTTAAGCTCAGCAATACAGTATTGATAAATCTGACTTAAGCAAAAAAATTGACTTAAGACGAATTTAAGCTGATTTCTAGTTTGATAAATCCGGACCCTGGAACTAGAGTGGTTATGTGAAGCAATAGAGGTCTTATAAGTTATATATGGTCAACATTTCATTAGCCTAAAATTTGTATTGCCTATTTTAGGCACTGTGACCATTGAGAATCAGGGTTGTCGTATTGGTTTAACATTTAGCAGTTTAAAAATTGAATGATTTAAAAAGAATTCAACCATACATCAATTAAAGGGACTAAGTAGATCATGGTTTAGTAAAGCAGTTTTTCAAACTATGGGACCCAAAATTGGGTTGCCAAAAAAAGTCTGTAGCATTTACTTTATAAATTGAAATTTATATCATGTTAAAATTTTACATATTATTAAAAAGTGTCCATTGTTAGTATCACTTAAGAATTTTACTTTTTGTTAACCAGTTAATGACCTTTTTTAACAATCTGTTTTTTTAACGTCCTGAGAAATGCGGTGCATTAAATTTTTTTGAACGTTTTTTGGTCGCCAGTCACTGCAGAAAGTTTGAGAAACTGCTGGTTTAGTACATTGCAGATGTTTTGTTTTGTCACAACATTGAAAATATTCATCTGTTCTTTTTTGCTACTATATTATATTATGTGCAATATTAGTGCATACAAGCCATACTACAGTATACTGTGCTTTTAAAAAAAAAAAAAATTCTTATTGTTGTTATTGTAATATTTATTATTATTGTTGTTGTTTTTATTGTTTTTTATTTTATTAATCATTATTATTATTGGCTATTACCCATTAATGCATAGAGGCATTGTTTCTTCTATTACAATTTTATTTCTTTCCCATTTTCCAGTGATGTTATTCTGTGCATCACTTTCCAAGCTTAGATCTTGATCTAGCTTGGTCAAAGGAAAGCCACAGAAAAGTTGTGCCTAGTAAAATATTACGGAATTGTAAGATATTATTTTTCCGCAGTTGTCATTGATTTTTATTTCAGACTAGTTACAAATTGGTTAAAAAGAAATTTGTAGTATAACACGTCAAAGATTTTTGCACTCAAATTCTGTGACAATAAGTAATTTGGATGTCACAAAAACAAATGTCACTCGTGTAACTTGGTATGCAACACTCAACGGTCCCAAGTCTCCCGGAAGTTGTGGGAGTGTCCCAGAAATCGGGACAGCCTCCCACAGGCATGCAAGCAGCTCTCGAAAATAACCCATATTCCGAAAATTCATAATATTTGCATGTTTTGACTACTGTATTATCAATTGTCTCACCGGAATCAGTGCAGATGGGTATCACCATGGATTTGGTGTAAACACCAAGGATAACGAAAGTCTAAAGAAGACTTACTACCAGTTCTGGTGGTGATTGGACAGTACACTGTCCAATCATTTCAGCTCTCCAGCTGAAACACAAGGAGAGCAGCGATGGGGATTGAACTGGGGACTTCTCCACGGTTCAGCGCACACGCAGTGGCTACCACCAGTTTAGCCGACTCTCGTGTAAAATGAATTTAAATATTTGGAAGCTCATTAACTAGAACTCCTGGAAGGGGTTTTTTCCAACTTGGGACCCCTGAACACTTGTAGGGTGTTATATAACAAGAAGGTTTAAAGAAACATCAGTTGAGTCATTCGATCTTCACCAACTGTGGCTGTTAGGTCTAACTTTAAGACTTGCCTCTTTAATAAATTATCTTTCTATTTTTATTTTTATTTCATTTGTTGTTGCATTAATTATGATTCTGATCTTTGCCACTGCTTCTTTTGATTTGTTTACTTGTGTTGTGCTTGGGCAATGATCATGACTGCCTGTGGGTTGTGAGGTGCCTAAGTATATTGTGGGGTGCAGAGCTTCGTATCTGCAAATAAAGGCACTTTATAAATGACCTGATTGGATTGGATTGAGTGATTTAATCAAAGAAGCGTAAAGTAAAAATAAGAAACAGTTGAATAATGTCAAGGAAAGTGTTGATTTGATTATTTAAATTAAAATTCGATATACGAATAATACACACATTCAGATAGTGTGCATTGATTTTTATGAATAATAGCATTAGAATGACCTTTACAAACATTTAAAAAAAAAACAATATAATTTCTACATCAGGTAGACACTCCATCATGCTAATTAAAGGCAATAATTGCTTTATAGTGTTTTGCTTTTAATTAACGTAATAAAGCGCCTGATTAACATACACACGTTTTTATTGTGCATAAATTTGAAACCTCAAGAACAATATAATGAAGACATTGCATTCACGTAGACATATATATATACGCTTAGTATATTATTTGTACAAGGTCGTTTAGTCTTAGCCTTGTTTTTGTCCATTTGACCAAAAGTACACATTTTAAAGACATTTTAACACTGGAACCCTCCTTAGTAACATAAAAAAACAAAGAACAAACTTTGTCCTTATAAATTTGGGTACATTTGCCAGAGATGCCGGCCAATACCTCGGCCTCATTTCACTGTCTAGAGAGGTGGGTATTCGACGTTTCTGAAGTCCCGTCTCTTGGATGTTGTGGTTAATTGTCCCGCAAATCGATAGTGTAAATCGTACGTAAACACGTTCATGACAACACGTTTGTTAGTGGACATGTGCGTGTCCCTGGCTGCCTCCAGATTAGTCGGTAGTTAAATTTGATTGACACCGGAAAAGTCTAGAAATAGACAAACAAAAAGAAAAAATGAAAAAAGAAAAATGAACATATTTGGGCAAGATATATTACGGCTATGTTCACACACACGGCGTAGGGCTGGCGTGGCTTACGCCAGGCGTAAGCTAATCCACGGATTAAAATTCCAAAGTGTTTCACACAAACGGCGTTCGTTAAACTAGCAGTAATATAGGCCTATGTGGAGTGGAATAGTTTTCAGTTTTAAATAATGTACGTGTTAACAGTAGTAAAATTAACAGTGCATCATGAAAACTTTTAAATCTGTGAATTGTTTGAAGTGAACTTATATGATTATTGTATTTTAAATGAACAATTTTACTTTTGATTTTTCAGCTAGCATTGTTGATGTTGCATGTTTTAATAGACAAAACACAATCAATAAATCGT